TGTAATTTGTAAATTATTAAAAGTGTAATATGAGTAATTTAATTATGTAAACTAGTCCTTGTAATAAATAATGTAAGGACTCGCCTAGCATCTCGTTTTTTAACCTTCCTGCATTTAAAAACTTTTTTCCATCGATCCCCTAAAAAGTGTAAAAAAGGGGTTTTACTGTATCTCTATAATACTGAATAAACTTTTATGGAATATTTCTTTCAATATATCAATTTCATTGTTTTTATTTTTGTCTTATATTGTATAAGTATGAAGTTACATTTATAAATATATAAATTAATTTTATTTAACAAATAAACACATTTCATTAACAACTTTTCTTCTGAATGGAAAGGGTGGGGATTAACATGCGAGAGTTCTAGCATGGGTACGCAAGTCATATTTTATTGTGTAGTTATCTTTTATGTTGTCTACTATGTAGTATTCTTATTAAGTATCACTTGCTTTTTATATTTTAAAATTACTAAATAGAGTAGTCAGAAAACAAGTAGAATTATTGCTTCAATGAGCACTATCATTATTATTACAAAACAGTTTGCAGTTATGTTACATAAAAATGTAAATAACTTGTTAATTGTAAGTAAATTATAGTGTTCTCCCACCAGGGTTCAAAAAACATCTTGCAGAAATAATTAACATCCTTCTAATACATTCTGTTTAAGATGACTTATGATGAAAAAAAGAGTGATTGTTTGCTCTTGACTTTTATCCAGTCAAAAATAAGAGAATGAATGGCATCAATCGCCAGCTGATACCACTAGGTAGGTCTATTAAAATATAAGAACTTACCATAAACACCACAACAGGATTGAAAGAAGTGATGACTGCACGTCCATACAGCACTGACTCTCTTTTAAAAGCTTCAAGGATAACTTGACTTAACTGAACTGCAGTCTAAAACAAAGACCATAATAAAACTTCTAAATGAATATTGACAAAATTATGGTACAAAACTACACAAATAATGGTCTTGTAACACACCTTCCAATCATCTGCTTTAATGTCAATAAATATTCTCAAATCAAGTTTAATACATTCATTTATAGCATCTTCAAATAAAAGTATTTTTTCACCAGGATATTTATCTCTGTAAAGCAATCACATGTATTGATTAAAATAATTGCTGTATTAATATATTCATATAAGAATAAGTTGCTTTTTATACCTGAAAGGATGTTTTGCAGATATATCCAAGTCTTTTAATTCTGCCCATGTCATTTCATTAATTTGACCGGTTCTTTCTGTAAGTCTGTCAATGTGATCGTCATGAAATATAATAGGTATATCATCTGCAGTAAGACATACATCCAGTTCAACCGCTGTGCAACCCTTTTCTTTACTCTGCAATTTAGAGCACACATTAATAAAATCAGGAAGCACGACACACTTTCCAAAAAATACTCTGTTGGAAAAATCAAAATTCTCTCCTGAATAGTGTTATTTCACAGCATTGAAAATGATATTACTTTGAAACATATTTCATACTTTTCAATTATCTGTACCTTAGTTTACATAAAAATTTTAAAAGTCTGGGACATTTGGAGCTACAAAGCTTTCAAGCTTCAAAGTAAAGCTAGGGACTATAACACATATTTTAAGCAAGATGAAACATGACAATAATCTCAAATATTATTTCAATTTTTTACACTCCTCTGATGGACTAATATGTGTTCAAAACATACACACATTTTTCTTTTGCAAGTCAGATAGCATCAGTGTTTCAGGTCAATGCAGATGATGGTGAGATGTTGGATGCTGTAATGACGACGTTGCTAAGGAATTTTATGTCATACCACACAAAACAAAAGAAAGTGGGGCAGAAATTATTGTATTCGGGTATTGACACTGAAGTTGTGGCATAGATTGATGAACTTCTTCAAGATGGAAAACAGAAGGTCCAAGTTGGACAACAGTTTCCGTCAAAGGATACTTCATGGATATCTCAAGGAAAAGTTATTGGTCCTGTCCTGTTCCTTGTGTATGTAAATGATCTGCCACACAATTTATTTTCAAAGGTATGACTATTTGCAGATGATTGTAAAATATCTCAAGCTTTTCTATCAAAAGCAGACAAGGATATTTTATATAGTGATCTAGAGAGACTAACTTCAGGTCAGAAAAAAACCCAAAAAAATTGACAATAAATATTTATTTACTAGGCTGTCCGGGTGACGCCGCGTCCATGGCGAAGGTGCCGACGTTTCGGTCGCCATTCTGCGACCTTCCTCAGGGCGTAATGTGCATAATGGCATTACGCCCTGGGGAAGGTCGCATAATGGCGACCGAAACGTCGGCACCTTCGGACGCGGCGTCACCCGGACAGCCTAGTAAATACTGACTCCGGCCGCGAAAGCCTACGCTCTCACTTGACAATAAATAGTTCAAAAATTAAAACTATCACATTTGGTAGAGGGTCACAATTACAGTGAAACTCAATACCTTTTGGGTAAAGATAATGTTTTGAGAGTATCGTCATGTATCTGTGAATAATCTTTGACAGAAAATTGGATCGGGAAAATCATATTAACTTTCTCCAAAGGAAAGCATGGGGATCTTAGAATTTTACTATGCAGATACTCAAAAAGAGTAATGTGAAAGTGAGAAAAATGTTACATTTATCTCTTGTTCATCCTCTAATGCAGAGGCGGATCCAGAGACAAATTTTGAAAGGGGAAATTAAAAATGTTTTGGTCGATTGTGACATTACATTTTTGTAACATATCTCAGCTCATTCTGCAATACGATTTTATTCATTTGAACGATTATCTGGAAATATTTTTGGTTGAAAATTTCATGACAAGTTAACATTAATAGTTACAAAAATCTTTTAAGGGGGAGGGGGATTTCCCTAATTTCCCTCCCCATGGATCCACACCTGATTAATGGAATTCAGAGCAGGTTGTTGGGACCCTTGCAAAAACTTTGTGTTCCTGGAAAGAGTCACCTCTCTGCAGATAAATTGATCCAGTCTACAATGGTCCTATTCACAAAACTGAATTTTCTTATTTGTGCTCTTTGCTTTCTACATTTTATTTTGGGTTAATTGTACTTAAGTAACATGGCACCTCAAGTCTTTAACTGATAACTTTCCATGTCAGTTGCAATGTCTTCAAGATGGCACACAATTGTACTGCCTTTTCCACATATAACCAAGGATACCAATTGACATTTGGTCTGTTGTTTATTTGTGAATTGAGCTGTTCTTTTCTTCACTTCGTTTATTGCTTTAATCTGACCTTCATTTTGAGAATTCCACCTTGCTATCCTGTATTCCATTAAGGGGTGACCACAGATTATACACAGTATACTGAAGGTTATCTCCTGAATATAGCCTGTATATTCTGGATGGTATACAGATATCTACCAAACCTAGGAGCTCAGAAAAGGCATACAAGAGTTTATAGAAGAAAACTACATCTTCAACTCAGGGCCTGGTTTGAAGATCAAAAAGCTCTGCTCCATAAATTTGGATCAGGAACTTCTCTCTGTTGAAGCTCACATCAGATGAAGAGGAGGTAGAAATTGAAGACAAAAAAATTATAATATTTATTTCAAGTGTACCTTGCTCCTTTTAAAAGTACACAAAAAGTAAAGAATAATATTAACAACAATATTTAATAGTTCAGTATAAGAACGATGAAAGAAGTATCAGAAAGAATTAAAAATAGGCTTGGTTAGAATATTTTAAATTTAATGTCTGAAAAAGTATTGTGAAGTAGTGCGCAAGACTTTTTTGTAGTATGCTGTTGATAAGGATATTAGATGAAGAAAACTGTGTTTGAAATGTTATATTTTAGATGTCATTCAACATGAAAGTCTATTAATAAAATCATGACAAAGAAACTACTTTAAGCTGAAGAATGAGCATGCACGAACCATGCGAATGACTTTTTCATTCAAAATCATGAAATAAAGACACAGCATCAGTGGTGGTTTGAACAGGTCAGCAGGTAGCTATAGCTGACTGGGACACCTGAACAATGGTGCATGGAGCCCCCCCCAAACAATCAGTTAATTGAACCTTGACCTGGACTTGAAACAAAATTTATCAGGTTTTTGCTACTTCATACTCAAAGAATTTTTTTGTGTTATAATTCTAGATTATTGCAAATTTGCATTCAAAATTATTTTAATAATTTTGCATTGGAAAATGTTCCACTTTTCACAACTTCTTACAAATGTTTGAAGACTCATTAAATGTATTACTACTAGGCATTCCTTATTTCAAAAGCTTATACAACAAATGTGTAGTGTACTCAATTTCAAGTTTCTCCCCTGAAAATAATTGCAATTGTAGGCAAAAGTTAACAAATATTTCAAAATTTCTGTTTTGAAGTGAACATCATTCAAAGTTACAAATGTTGATCAAAAGTCACAAATATTCATAATGTCATTGAATGAGAGTTAAGAAGAGGCACTGGAGAATTTTCTACACACAAAGACATTGGCAAAAGACTGTTCTCATTCAAGAAGATAAAAGTAAATAATAGATGGAATAATAGTAACTCTAAAATTTATCCACTGAAGATTTGATATATGAAAGTAAATGACAGTAAATGATAGACACAAAAACAGTGACTTCAAAATTTATTCACTGAACATTTGATACAAGAAATCCTCTACAATAGTGAAACACCATCTGCAACATTAACTCCCCCCCCCCTAATGATAAAGGTAACATGATAATCAAATTTTGAAAAAATGGTTACAAAAAAACACTATTATTAGCTATGTATTGTTAGTACGCTGCAGTATTATCATGAATGGGAAATTTGAGATATCATGCAATATGAACACCATTTAATTCTAGTCTTCATAAAACAAGCTGTAGCCTGGAACTCTGTGAAAAGGTGTAAACATATTTCCCATATACCTCATAATCACATTTAATGTAAACATAGACTTTTGGAAGTGTTCTCCTTATTTTATATCTGTGTGTATTCCCTTTTATTTTACATTACTTATGAAAAAGCTGTCTCTTATAATTTACAAAACACATCCTTGCTCCTGGGGAGTTTTCGCTAGTCAGTCTTTTCCTTAAATCCAGCTTCAGAAGGCATGTTTTGGTGATCTAGGAAAATGAAATAAGGTAAAGTAAGATAACATTACCACAATTCGAAAAAATTTAAATAGCATGGGTTATACTGCAAATTTCTTTACAGGGTCTGTTCCTTTAGTTAAGAGCCTCCCTCAGCCACATACAATTATTGTATGCATTTAGTTTTCATTGTAACCTCAAAAGATTGGATCTGAAGGACTTTGTGCCACAACCAATTTCTGCTGTCAAAATTTTGAAACTTTCTTTTAAACTGAAATTGATATTAACATGAATTCCTTCAAGTCAAATTATCTGCTCTATGTGGGGCAGGCAATATCTTCACATGGAGATTATCATTTTAGAATTAATTACATGCATATACTCTTGAACCAATTTACATGGCTTGATGACCTGGGCGAGAGGGTTATACTCACAAATGATTTTGTTGACAGTTTCCTAGACCAAATAAAGAGAGAGGAAAGCCCTTTTCCTTATCATACTGGATGGTTTCAATGTGAAATAGTTAATAAAATGTATTTATAAGACTAGGTTTCCAAAGAAATTATTATCCTTGTAAAATGTATTAATGTCGCAAAACAATGACATAAAAAATTAAAATTGTTCTGTTTCATATTACTGATTTAAAGTTATCTATCCAACTCGCCAACAATTACAAACATTGTTGTAGACATAAAAGTAACTGGATATATCTTTCTAAGAATGGAAACTGTGACTATAACACTTTGAAGAAACAACAAACCTCTGTGATTAATCGTATTATCTAAATGATGCTTGTGTAGATTGATGCAACAAAGCATAACTTTAAAATGAAGTAATATGTAGCAACCTCAGTTAGGTTACCTTACTACATTTTCATCAGAATGTCATAATATTTTGAGTTTTAATTTTCATGATATATAATTGCCGTTATAGATAATGAATTATTCAATTACTGCCGTTATTTATTATTTTTCAGGTGAGAAAGAACACTTTTACATAGATAATGAGAAAAAATGCAATTAGCAAGAACCTTTCTTATTGCAGCCAAACTATTTTCTGGGGCATCCAGCGGTGCTGCTCGATGTGCCACAACTTTCATAACATACTGTTCTTTACTATCATTTTCTTCGTTGATCTGATCTTCTTGCGTTCGAGGATCAATACCTAGAACTTCCACAACCTTCCACTGATCAGGAGAAGGAATTCTCAAAAAGTTCACGGCTATAAATAATACTATTGTGCCAATCGCTGTGAGAGAAACCGAATAAAATATCATTTCTGACGTGTAAAGCCACAATCCATAGAAATAAAACCACCCAATAAAACAACTGTACAGAATTTCTACTACTAGAGCTGCCATATTGTTTACACATGATACGAAAACAATTGAACATTCCAAATAACGTGATTCCAAAGATATAACAACGTTCCAAACATCTTCAGTCGGGAAGTTATTTCTAGATAAAATGGTTATGATAAATCATAATTGATATTTTGCGGTATGATTCGTTGTCGCACTCTGTCGTTTTCGAGAAAGACTCAATCGCGGCGCGACCACAGGTTTGTTTCCAATGTCTTTGGGCCACGGTGTGCGAGGCAGATATTATTTTCTGTGGATTGTGTGGATTTGTGACGCTTCGCTACCCAAGCATAGAGAGTATATCTCTACTCTATGTACCCAATTCCAAGTTGAGGATGAGGCTCGAGTCTCCGACCCTCCCGTTAACATAAATCATCATAGAGTCTGCCCATCGCATAATTACATATTCGCATTTATGCGAATATTGACCATACTCACTAAAACTAACTACTTCGTTCTGTTACTTTGTTTTCTGGTTCTGTGCGCGAATCAGACCGCTGGGAAATCATTTCTGCAAATCTAAACTGCATTTTAGCCAGACAGTGATACAAAAAGAGAAGAGAAGCTAGAAACTCTGTGGAAAACTAGGCATAATCGAACGAAAGAATCCCTAGCAAATTACTCGCGAAAGAGGAAATACAAGGAATGATTAAACAAGCAAAGGCCAACACGGACCGAGAGAAGAGAAATTAATAAATCAAGCAGAACGTGACCATTTCAAAATATTGAGACAGAAACAGCCAAAATCCCCACGACATATAGCAATGGAAGTATGGAAATCTCATTTTATACAAGTGTTGCAATCAAAAGAAACCAGACCAGAGGGAAAGAACTGTGACAACGGGCACATAGAACTATTCTCGCTAAACGAGGTGGAAAAAGTAATACAAAATGGGAAAGAGAGGAAAGCTGGAGGCCCAGACCAGGTATATTATGAACACCTAAAAGCCTGCCGGAGATATGAATGTGACAATAACGGACTTGTTCAATAGATGCTTGGACCAAGATAATATACCTGACAATGGCTGGCTTCACCGGTCTCCATCAAGAATTTCTCCCTTCTAAAAAATAATACTTGCGTCATTTGAAAATAGGGCCATTTTGCTCTTTTGTGGGCTCATGGGCATGCCATTGATGAATAATAAAAATAGTAAAGGGCCTAGGATCGATCCTTGTGGCACTCCATAATTTATCATTCCAGGTTGAGAAAAATGGGTAGAAACCTTTTTACTCAAACATGCTCGATTGTGACTACTTGACAACGATTTGAAAGGTAACATTTAATCCATTGATGTGTAATGCCTCTAATGCCCAAAGTTTCAAGTTTGTATAACAGTATGTGATGGTAAATAATGTTGAATGCTTCTGATAAATCTAGAAACAAATGGGGAATTCTTTCTGATCTAGAGCAACAAGTGTGTTATTAAGAAGGGTGAAGATTGCTGTGTTTGTAGATCTACCATTTCTAAATCCACGTTGAGTCTCTATCAATATGTTATTTCAATTGAGAAAATTTTTATATTATAAAGCTTTTCTAGAATTTTTGAGAATCCGGATAGCAAGGATATTGCAGAGTGACGCGAGGCCACAAAGGAGACTTAAGTGCGCATGACGCGAAGTTGCAAAGGTTATTCGTAGATTTAAATGAACTTATAAAATAAATAAAATACTTTGACTAAGTGAAATGTGTCTGTTTTCGGAAAAGTGTACGTCAATTTTAATGATTTGTGAAAAACGATTTCGTAGGAAAATCAAACTGTGAATTTCTTGATTGAAAAATGGTGCGCGATTAAGAGAAAGTCGAATCGTCTGCGTTTGTTGCGTGCGGTAGTTCTACCAAGAATCCCCTTTATTAGTGACATAGCATCTAGCAGCTGAGGTGTGATGCAGGAAAATAGTTTGACATCAAGAAAGTTTCAGAATTGTTAGCAAGCAGGTGCAGTGCACTGCATTACTGCGCCGTACACACCACACCAAAATTGTGTTGCGGAGCGTGAAAATCGCACCGTCGCCGAATACGCGCGGTCTATGTTGAATTCAGGCACGTTGCCAAAGGAACTGTGGGCTGCAGCATGCAATACTGCCACTGACGTCCTGAATCTTACCGGAAAGTCCTCAATTGAAAACAAGTCTTCCTATGAATTGTGGCTTGGACGGACAGTCGGAAGTCTCAGTCATCCGAAGATCTTCGGAACAATGTTAAGTGTGAATAAACCACTTTCGCTCGAAGTTTGATAACAAAAGTGTTCATAGACATTTGGTTGGATACGTGCACGACAGATGGATTCAGGATCTAGATTCCGACTCAAAGGCAGATTGATCTGAGTCACGATGTGAAATTCAAGCCTGACGTTGCGTGCGATGCGCCCATCAACGCCGAAAATACTGTAATTTCATGTCAAGAACTCACGTCATCCGATGTAAAGAGGCTAAATTAAGCCAGCGACGAGGTTGAAGAATTAGCATCAGTGTTCAGCTTCGGAAGAACTGATGTTCCGTTTGAAGATGTCAACGAAGAAGGTGAAACGACAGGAAGAAACAAATGTGAATCGAAGAAATCGAGATGGATAATCAGTGGAGATATTGTGTATATGGCCGGATCGTCGATCAGTGTTAACAAAACCCTTAATTCTTACCTTGAAATCTCCTGACAAAAAAGAGTGAATGAAGACGCTTAACGAGGATTTGGATTCTTTCGAGGAATACTGTACCTGGGTTTGATCGAACGCCCAAAAAATGTACAAGTCTTGAAGAATCTGGGTCATCTGCCAGAAACTTTTGGATAGATTTAGATTTATTCAGTCACAAAAACAACAGGAAAAACTGTGTGACGTAGGGGGAAAAGATTATAATAGATTATAAAAATAGAGGAAAAATTCGCTTCGAGGCTAGATTGGTTGCTAATGGTTTCGTACAAAGACAAGAAATTTACTATGAAGAGACATTCAAACCTGTTAACAATATGAAACCATTCTGGTTTTATTAGCGGTAGCTGCTGCATTTGGAATGAAGCTCGCTCATTGCAGTTTGAAGTCAAAACCGCTTTCTTGAACGACGTTCTTGAAGAATACGTGTTTATGGAACAGTCAGAAGGTTTTGTAATCTTGATTATGCATCAAAGAGATTGTTTCTTTTTATGTAAAATACATAATGTTAAAATACAAATTTGATTTATTTTATTTATTATTTTTTACAATACTTTCTTAGTACAGTCGATTTTCATAGTTTTCTTTCAGTTCATGAATTTTCATTGTTTCCGATTTTCTTAGTCATAGTGCCTTTTTCATCTCTATTTTTCTCAAAATATGTCATTTTTATAATTATTTTAGTAAAAATTAGTGTTTCCCCCCCTAAATTATGCCTGTTTGAATGCCCAGGCATTAGTTATATCATTTTATCTATAACTAATTTGGAACTTAATGTTTATAATGGTATTAAATTAACAAAATAATTAAATGGTCTGATTATATGACTTGCCAGAGTTTCCTGGAACAATGAGACTCATTTCAAAACGAGCGGTTTATTTGTACGAGTTCTAGAGAATAGAAGTAAAGCACTATCAGTTAAATTACGATTATTAAAGCTACGTATTCTTTAAAGACAAATCCATTTCAAGCCGAAGTTCCGGCCTACGCGTTTAATATAAAACATCCTTGAGCATGTCCGCCCAACGCATAAATTCAAACATATTTGTTATTAAAACGTGCGATTTCCATTTGAATCAGAATCATAATATCATTGTTCCCGTCACTTCGTTTTCCGCTTTCGTTCAGTCACGATATACTTGGCTTACCACAGTGATACCACCGTGACTTATAGTGGGATTTTTATAAATGTGCGCCTCAAGCTCTGTCTTCGCGGTGGCATTATGTTACTGCATTTCGCGTCTTTCTCAGTCGTGACGCTATATGTCGCATGATCGCGCACTATCAAGCACTGCTTGATACTGTCACGACATCTAGCGGCACGATCGAGAAAGACGTGAAATTTAGTGACATAATGCCTCCACGAAGACGAGTATTGAGGTGCACTATTATAAAAATCGCACTTAACATCACAATTAAGTTCTCTAAGGTGTGTACATCGATTTCTTTACGGCGTCCTTTGAATGATCATCAGATGTTACGGCGGATTTATGTCCACGTACTCTAAATTTTAATGAAGTATAAGAGAATTCCAGATCACCGATCTCGCAACGTCGAAGTTGATTCTACACGATAAGGGATAAGACCCACTATTTTATTTATTTTATAAACGTCATTATATCAAAACTATAAGACCAATTAAATAATGAAGTTACGTTTAAAGCGATTTGAAACCAAATTTAAAACTTTTTCCATTCATTTAACTTATATTTTCTTAAAATGTCTCAATAAATGATACGGCTGAAATAATAATACAGGAAAGCGCACAATGTGCATAGTTTATTCTCGTTACTTTTTGATATAGAAAATTGACGTCACAATGTTACACATTCACTGTTCAATCACTTTATGTTTGTCTCTATATCGCGTTCACTTCCGCACTGTGAGTTTTACCAGTTCCATTTGTCCTTTTTATTCCGTGCTGAGCTTGAAAATTGATGTGTTCCTTTTTCCGCATCGTAAGGCATTATATCTATCACATAATTCCTCGCACCATTTACACACACACATTGCTTGTTTCGTTTGTGAAATCTTTTCTTTTTTAATCTTTATGATGAAATTCATGCACCGCAAACCTTGCTACCGAATGTCTTAGGTCATATTTTCTTCCCATCTATTTTGTTGTGGTTATTGCATCCGTTGTATAAAATCCTTCCCATATCTCTTTCTGTTTCTCTTGTAATTCCTTCGTTAATTCTTGTAGGTATGGTGTGTTTGCTAGTAGTATTTAGCATCGCAGTTCTTCCACGTAAAAGGGCTCTCTTGTTAGCTCACACACGTCGTGCTGGAATGAACTTGGCTCTCTATAGCTTTCTTCTGTACGGGGGACGGTTGCACAGGTCAGGTTGTGACGCGTATTTCAAAAGTTTATTCTATGTAACGTCGCTGTGTAAGAAGGCTTGGAAATGTGCATCTCTCGCTACCTGTGAGAATGTAGGAAGCGTCGGGAACGCGGAGGCATGCAACTCCATTGTCTCGGCTAAGCGTGCTCCGGCCGCATCAGCTGACTCACCGGGAAATACGGACGCTGCTGTCTCATAATCTGGCAATTCAGTTGCTCCTGTTCTTGGAACTCGGTAACGTTTGAATTTCAACAGAATTTTGCGAGGCTCAAACAGTCATCAATGACGCCGCGATTGGACGGAAGAAACCGCATGATGCGCGCCCGCCAATCGCGGGAAAACAGAGCGGGGGAGGGCCACGTGACCAACGAAGTTGAGAAGGTAACCGCGACACGCAAGCTCGGCCATTTCAATAGAAGAGACGACAGCGAGCAGAGTGCCATTCCGAGGTAGGGACGAGGGCGAGTTTCTTTGACGTAGGGACGCCAGTGAATTCGCTATTACAATTCCGCCACCCGAATGCCACGAACAATGCCGAATGAACAAGAACGAATGCCACGGACAATGACCTCAAGTCCAGGACTGACGACGGGCCGAGGCGCGACCACAGCTGCCGGGAGCCATGCCGCTGATACCCGGACCAGGCGTTGCTAGCGCCTGGAACGCCACCACGCCGCATACCGCCCCGACCACCTTGTTAATGGGCAAAGGGGTGGGACGGGATGCTGCTGCCGCCTGACCGCACCAGGATGAAGGGCCGCCGCTCCCGTAACCGGGGTCGTGACCACTTGGATGAAGGATGAACTCTGGCCCGGCCGAATTTAAGGTAAGTTAGTTTCAAGCTACTGTTAAGGAACAGAAGGCTTTACTTCATGAAAAGGAAATATTAAATCCACCTTTGAAAATACAATGTGTTTCGACGAGAACAAGCCCTATCACGCATGCCTCTCTTTAAAAAAGTCTACTGGCTGAGCAGCCGGGGCAACGCTGGATCAACGTAACGAGGTAATCAGGTGAGTCGGGGCAGACACACGGTTCGTGTGGTTACACTTCAGAGAGATAGATTTCACTTTCTCTATTTCTATCAAGTCTTTTGTTCTGGTGTTCCCAAATGATCTCAAGTCCGTATGTAATCACAGGAGTTGTTTTTAATCTGAATAATATTATTGTTGTTTCGAGTGAAATTTGTCGTAAGTGTGAAATTTCATTCATCGAAATAATTGCTGATCAAATTATCTCTTTGATATGTTCTCTGGAATTTCTTCCGCGAGTTTGTAGAGTAGCGCCTAAATTTGTTAAATTCTAAAATTTTCAAATTTTTCCCGTTGACGTTGATGTCATTCTGGGTGCCGAGACTGCCTCCTTTTCTGAATACCATAGCAACTGCCTTATGTTTGTTTATGGCGAGGTCGTTTGGCATTACCCCCGCTGATTTTGCTGTTGGCCTTGATATGGTTCTGTTTGCGCTGATTCTTATATCGTTTTGGCGAGAATACTTCTTAAGAGTCAGGTGATACTATTGCTCCCAGTAATACCTTCCAGCTTATGTAGAAGCTGGCTTCTGTTAATAGAGTCGAAAGCCTTGTGTGACGTCATGGATACTCCAACAACGACCACAGACACAGATTTCATATACAAATATATTTATCTAACACAAGAAAACAAAACAAATCTATACCACTTAATAATCTACTTACACCTAGGCTCTGATAGACCTACTATCCCTGATCGCGGGAGCGATCCAAACCCCGATTGAAGATGGTTTTGATTGTGGGCATTCGCACTCCTACTTTTGAAGCGCGCAACAAAACCTAGCTTCCGTGACCGGATGTCGCGCTGGCACACAAAGTCGTTCCTGGCGCACCCACCACGGCTGGTTTGCCTCGATCGCAGGAGCGACTTATCGATTGAGAATCGGCCGTGAATCGTGGCACTCACCACTCCTTCACCTCGGAGCACGCACACAGATTGCTCCCCGTGACCGCCAGTCACCCAAGGACGCTAAAGTCCGCAGGCTTCGTCAATAGTGAATCCAGCCTCGCGAGCCTGGCCGCGCATACACCGTCGTGGACGCCAAGTTTGTGCCCACCACGAAGTTCTCCCACTGTCTCCAGAACCCACCACTGGCCTGTACACTCTGTTATTAGGCGAGGCCGGTGACTACCTAACGCACGTGCCACGTCGCTGTCATAAACAGTGAAAAGTTTCTAAAGGCCGGAAGACTCCAAAGTTTGTGTCTCCCGTTTCCGCTTCTTGCCCTTAGGGAAAAACCTTCCTCTGTGGCAGGCTAATCCTCTACCAAGCGTCCCCAAATAGATGCCATGAGGCACACTGGCTAATACGTTATACTTGGTTAAGACTATGAATAACTTCCCTGTCTGTGGTTTTAGTGCTTCAAATATTTCTCCTAACAGGCATTGCACTCCTCTTCCGAACTGAACATCATGTCCACCATGTTTTCTGCATTTATCACTTGTTG